GAAAATATTAAGAGCAGCAAAGGAAAAAGGCCAAGTAACATATAAAGGCAAACCAATCAGAACACACCCGACTTCTCAATGGAAACTCTGAAAGCCAGAATGTCTTCGATAGATACCCTAAAGCACTAAAGGAGCATGATGTCAACCCAGACTACTGTACCCAGCAAATCTTTCAATGACAATAGATGGAGAAAACAAGATATTTCATGACAAAAAAAAAACAGATTTAAACAATACATATCCACAAATCCAGCACTACAGAAGGTTCTGGAAGGAAAACTCCAACCCAATGAACATAACTACACTCACAAAAACACAGGCAATAGATAATCTAATTTTACCAAACACAAAAAGAAACAGGAGGATGAAATCCACACACGATGACACCACCAACAGTAAATCCAAAACAAATAAAAACCAACAAACAATGGACATTAATATCCCTAAATGTCAATGTTCTTAACTTACCCATAAAAAGATATAGACTAACAGAATGGATACGAAGACAGAATCCATCCTTCTGCTGTTTACAAGAAACGCACCTCAACTTCAAAGACAGGCATTACCTCACAGTAAAAGGATGGGAAAAGATTTTCCAATCAAATGGGCCCAAGAAACAAGCAGGTATTGCAATCCTAATATCTAACAAATTGGACTTCAATCTAAAATCAATCAAAAGAGATGAAGAAGGGCATTTCATACTCATCACAGGAAAAGTCCATCAAGATGAAGTCTCAGTCCTGAGCATCTATGCCCCAAATACGAAGGCATCCACATTTGCAAAAGAAACATTACTAAAGCTCAACCCACACATACAACTACACACACTTATAGCAGGAGACTTCAACACCCCCATTACACCACTAGACAGGAGCACCACACAGAAACTTAACAAAGAAACAAAGGATCTGACAGAAATTATGACCCAACTGGGTTTAACAGATATCTATAGAACACTTCATCCAAACACAAAAAAATATACATTCTTCTCAGCACCACATGGAACATTCTCAAAAATTGACCACATAGTTGGCAGCAAAGCAAACCTCCACAGTTACAAAAGAATTGAAATAACCCCCTGTATCTTATCAGATCACCATGCATTAAAGCTAGAATTCAACAGAAATATGAATTGCAGAAAGCCTACATTAA